GTCGTCGTCGTAGTAGTAGTAGTACACCAGGAAACGCGAAAACAAGTGCTAGCCAGCATACGTTGACCCGGCTCTGGAAATGCCAGCAAGAAGACCAGCTGTAACCTAACCTTCACATGTTCCGGTAAGTCCCATGCTTCATAGGAAATGCGAAAATCAAATCTACAGGAGTCGGGTTTCAAGGGTCTCTTTACAATCAGTCAGGAGTCAGCCGTCTCGACTTTATGCAGATGGATGTGGGCTCAGAAAGTTATCATGACACCTTGATGAGGAGCGCCCAACGAGCTTGAAGAGGCAAATTCTCCATGACTCGCTTTCTTGCACCACCACAAGCAACGCAAGACTGAATGCCACATGCCTAAGGGGCAGACTGCCTTAAGAACATGAGAACGACAATTCTTACGTCAGACTCTGTCAGACGGTTACATTAGGCATGTAATAATTCGCCTTTGCCATGGCCACCACGGCCACTGCCTCCACTGAGGCCGCGGAGCCTTGGCATTGTTTTTTTGTTCAGATTGCTAGCTCAGACTATGGGCTTCCATAGCAGCACGGCCCGTCTCGAGCTTCTTCGAAGCATCCGAAGACGAAGTCCCTGACGTTCTAATGTCGCAGCACCTGCTTGGCTCCTGACTGTTGAGTGAAAGCTGCCCTCGCTGAAGACACTAAACCAAGTCGAAAAGGTAAATTGCACAGTCAGACATGGAACCTTCCGTGCCGGAATGTACCTCGTGTCTGCCACGTCGCGAGGGTCCAGCGATCGCTCGGTGTTGAAGTCTAATCTGCTGCTAACCGCTAACCAAATCATGCTGCTTAGTGGCTTAAGCAGTTGTGGAAGAGCCAGTCATGGAACCAGCCTGCTTCTTGGATCGTGCACAGTTTGGTCCAGAGTAAATGTTTGACAGCACATGTTGCTGTGCATCCTAATCCGGCAGTGTCGAACCCCTGCGTCAGCCGAATCCCTGAACTGGCTGTGGCTCAAGACGACCAGGTCGAAATCTCGAAGACAATCTGATGCCACCCTCAAGCGCTAGAGGGAACCTGACCCGAACCAGCCGCTCAAGATCAACCAAACAACCTTGGGTGACGTGCCTGCAGGAGGAAATCTCTCCCCTACCCTGTCCTGCCCGCGTGCTCTGTCGCCTGCCCTCCCTGCGCTACCCACCCCACGTCCCACGATACCATCTTACCCTGACAGTCGAAGCTTTCCGACCTCGCCTCTGAAAGTAAAACGACTGTCGCAGGTTGTGCCGCAGACAATCGGTGCTGACTTTCCTGAGGAGCAGTTAATGCTGATGGCATGTGTGACTCGTGTGGGTGTTTCAATGTTTCTTAGGAGTTTGGTTGGGAGTCCGGAATCAGTGCTAGTGTCAGTGTTAGAGGCTTTTCGGTGTCAGTATTGTGAAGTACTAGTTTTCGTAGCGGCCATAGTAGTAGTAGTAGTAGTAG